TGTGAAATTTCTGAGTTTCTCTAACATGAAAGGTTTTCCTAGTGTCTTATATCCATTCTGTCACTTTATGAAGTTATTTTATCAACTACTTTTTCAGTACTAGAGATAAACTGAAGGCCTCATAGGTACCAACGAGCTACCTCCTTAGTCCTTAAATTTTTAAATTTACTAAACGCAGCAGTTTTCAATCTGTGGGTCAAGACCTCTTTGAGGGTGGAAAGGCTCTTTCATAGGGGATGCATATCCGATATCCTGCATGTCAGCTATTTACATTACAATTCATGAAAGTAGCAAAATTACAGTTATGAAGTAGCAACAAAATAATTTTTAAAATTTATTCTGTGTGTCTTTTACATCTTGTATCTTGATTCCATTCATTTCCCCTTCCCTTCACATCCACCTTCCTCTCCTGCACACCCCCAAATAAAACAATTTAAGAGAAAGGGAAAAAAGAAGAGAAAAGGGGGAAAAACTTAAAAATCTTGCCATGGAAGCTTCAGTGTGACACAGTGAGTCCACGCTGTGACCCCATTGTCATCTTTACTTGCAAGTGTTCATGGCAAAGAGTCATTGGTCTGGTTCAAGGCCTCTGGTTTCCACTATACTATTGATGCTGGGTCCTCACTGGGGCTCTTCCTGGATACCCTGTTGTTGTCCTGTGTTGTGGAGATACTGTAGCTTTGGGTCTGCAGGTCAGGTTCCTTCACAGGCTCCAGCAGATCATAGATGGGAAGGATGATGGGGCAGGGCAGCTGTAGGGTTGGTCTGTCAGATGGGATTGCGGAGAGCTCTTCCTTGCTCACATCTTTGGGGCTGGCACACCCACACCTGCATTAAACAGGGTTGGCTCTGTTGTGCTGCCCTGGGGAGGTGCAGGGCCTGTTTTCCAGAGTGTTGCAGCTCATGGGGTCAGGGATAGCTCTCCCACGCTCATGACCAAGGGCCAGGTCTCCCACCTGCCCCAGATGTTAATGAGCCAGCAACAAAATAATTTTATAGTTAGGGTCACCACAAAATGAGGAACTATATTAAAGGATTGCAGCATTTGAAAGGTTGAGAACCACTGATTTAGTGTGTGTGTGTGTGTCTGTGTGTGTCTGTGTCTGTGTCTGTGTCTGTCTGTCTGTCTTTCTGTCTTTGTGTGGATATGTGGGCTTTGTCCGTGTGAGTGCAGGGTCCCATGGTGGCTAAAAGAAGGCATCAGATCACCTGGAACTGGAGTCACAGGTATTTTTGAGGCACTTTGGGACTGCAGTATGCAATCTTTTTGGGACAATGTCTTACTGTGTAACCCAAGCTGGCCTTGAACTCACAAAGATCCTTTGCCTCTGCCTCCCGAAACAGAGGTCTAAAAAGCTGTACCAACCACTTCCAGCCAGTATGCACTCTTACATGCTGAGCCATTTCTCTAACCCTGATTTCTAATTTTTATTTGTTTGTTTGTTTACTTGGTTTTTTGAGACAGGCTTTCTCTGTGTAACAGCCCTGGCTGTCCTGGAACTCACAGAGATCAACCTGCCTTTGCCTCCCAAGAGCTGAGATTGAAGGCACGTGCCACCACTGCCCAGTACAATTTTATTCTTGAGGCAGAGTCTCATGTATCTCAGTTGGCCTCAAACTCAAAATGTAGCTGAGGGTGACTTTGAGCCTTGACCTCCTGCTACACTTCCGGAATGCTTAGGATGTGGACATACGCTACCATATCTAATTTATGTGTTAGGGGTCAAACCCCATGGTTCATGCATGCTAGGCAAACACTCTACCAACTAAACTACATCCTCAGCCCTAAAACATTAGTACTAGGGTAGTTGCATTTAATATATTGTGGTATCTGAAATGTGAAGACTCATGTAAAGGAGGGACTATCTGTATCTAACAAAGTATATGTTTAATAGTAGCAGGGAGTGACCCTAGGGCCTTGCATGTGCTAAACCTATGCAAATGCCCTGCTATTGAGTTGTATACCAAACCCAGTCTATCTAGAATATATAAACAATCCTCAAAATTCAACAGTAAAAACAAACCTACTTAGAAAGTAGGAAATTTTTTTAAAAAATTTTACCAAAGTGGATGTAAGTAGATGGTAGGTAACCTGAAGCATGAAAACCTATTTATCATCATTAGCCATTAGAGAAATACAAATCAAGTCTACAAAGAGATATTAGTAAGTATTTGTTAGGACATAAAAAAATGAAGCTAGTACTAAATACTGGTGAATATATGGTTAAACTGGGACATTTTATACATAGCTTATAGGAATGTAGAATGGTACATACTCTCAGGAAAAGTTTGCCATAAATATATGTTTAATGAAACAACATATATTTACCATATAAGCCAGCAATTGTGTTTATATGGATTTATCATAGAAAAATAAGATGTTTAAATAAAAATCTGTATATAGACTTCATGTGTTTATAGAAGTTCTGTCTATCATCTGTCTATCTACCTATCATGTATATGACGTGTGTGTGTGTGTGTGTGTGTGTGTGTGTGTGTGTGTGGGGGTGTGTGTGTGTGTGTGGGGGTGTGTGTGTAGGTGTGCACATGCCACAGAACACATGTGGAGGTCAGATGGCAACCTTCAGGAATTGGTTCTCTGCTTCCACCTGAGTTTAGGGATGGAATCAGTTTGTCAGGCTCATGTGCAAGTGTCTTACCCACTGAGCCGTCTCTCCTGCTGAGCAGGTGTATTGTTATAGCCCAAACCTAGAAACAGCTTCGATGTACTTACAC